CCCCACCCAGCAGCCGCAGCAACTGCAGCAGCAGCAGCCACCACAGCCAAGGCAGCCCCCGCGCAGCCCGCCCCAGCAGCGGCAACAACCGCACCACCCGCCGCAACAGCAGCCGCAACAGCAGCTACAGCAGCCGCACGACCCGCTACAGCAGTAGCACTTTCGGCCCGCGTCAGCGGGCCAGTGTCCTGCCGCTAGGCCGTGCATGCCTGCAGGCAGCAGCAAGCGCTTCTTCTTCTTCTCCTTCTTGGACACCTAACCCACAGGATGCAGATGCGCACACTCAGCGCCAACAACACCTGGCCAACCTAGCTCAAGCCAACCAATGGCCCAACGCCGAGCCCCCACGACTGGAGCCCCTTACGCCCTTCAACCTGCTTGATGCCGCTGCCAGCCAGAAACACAAAGCCCCCGGCCTTGATGCATGGCGAGGCGACGAAATCAGCCACTTACCACAGGAGGCCCTTCAAGCCATCTGCACTCTCTACGGCCGCTTTGAGGACGGAGAAGCCTGGCCGGACCAGCTGGTCATTTGGAAACAAGCTCACCTCCAAAAACCGCAGAAACCGCGGGGGGAACTCAATAGCCTCCGCCCAATCAGCCTGTCATCAATATGGTACAGGCTTTGGGGCAGCACGCGCGCCAAACAACTCTCCCCTTGGGTTGGCCAACGAATGCCACATCAGCTCCACGGCAGCATCAAGGCGAGAGGCGTGCACACAGCGCTGCTTCTCCCACTCTGTCTCTTCGAGGCGACCAAACACGCACCTGCAAGGCAACGCGACCAACACCTTCGCTTCGCCGGAAGCGCGGACCTGTCCAAGGCCTTCGACACCTTGCACGTGGACCTGGGCCTCCAGGCCCTAGGCCGAATGGGCCTACCGACCCCTATCGGCCGCGCCCTCGCCAATGCCTGGCACCAACAACAACGCTACATGAGTGCCTCCCACACCACGGCTCGGCAAGGCTCTCAAGCAATCTGCTTACCACAGGGGGACGCTTGGAGTCCACATAGCCTCAACGCCATCATGGCTGAGGCCATGTTCCGCATCACCCCAGCCCACCCCACCCGTCCACCGCCTCTACCTTGACGACCGCTCATGGTACACCAGCAACGCTGCCCTCTGCGCCCGCATCGGACGCGACTGGAGCGAAGAAGTCGCGCGCCTGGGCCTGGCAGAAAACGCTACAAAAAGCGACTACACAGCCATCGGCGGCCAGCAGGCCATCGCCGAACTCCGTCAGGAGCTCACAGCCAGCAACACGCGAGGGACTGTCCTGGAACGCCCTAACTAAGCTACTGGGCACTCGCCTCCAGCCTACCCGGGCCCACACCGGCCCTTCACCGGACGAGCAGGATCGCCTCGATTTCGCCAAACGCTTGATCAATCAGGCGTCTACTCTCCCGGTCTCCCGGGCCCAGCGGACCATGCTCGCAAAAGGCAGCGGGCTGGCCGTTGCGGCGGCGTGCGGCTGGAGCCGCCTCCCGGCACTCAGCGACCTGCGTCCTTTGCAAAGCGCCATGACCCGCGTCCTTGGCGAAGAGCACAGCTTTGGGGCCACAGGCCACCTACACAGGCTCCTCTCGGGGCATGCAGCTGACGTCTACTTCCGAGTAGGGGCCTCACAAGTGATGTACCTGCTCAGTGCGCTTGACGACACCTTCCGAGCTTGCTGGCCAGCCCTTCGGCAAAACCAAGGCCCCATCGACTTCACCAGACGCTGGCTCGAAAGACACGGATGGGAGACAAAGGAGCCTTGGCTCTGGCACCACCCTGTCGCACAGCTCTGCCTTGACGGTCGACACCCACGCAGCCGCGATGCCGCTCCCGACGGCTATCGCCACGTGGTTGCCCCAGAAGCTGGCCACAACTGCCTCGCACACCACCTTCGCGACGCCTGGCGCGCTCATCTTTGGGCGCTTTTCCTCAAAGATGGCAACAAAGCGGCTTTGGCTCTCCACGACGTCACTTGGCCCACTGTGCGTGCCCGAGCCAAGCTGGCGACGAACCACTGGGGCAAGTGCCACCCGACACTACGACCACACCTTGTCGCTATGCACAGCGCACACTGGGTGAGCCAAGCACGCCTGGAATGGACGGCGCAACGCGCTGTCACGCCATGCCGATGGTGTGGACATGACCGCCCTGACCGTCAACATGAATGGCGATGCCCAGGGCTTCGCACCACTCTTCACGACCCCCCGGACGAGATCTTCAACCAGCTTGCCTGGCCACGACCAGAATCCCCCAACGACATCATTCTGATGTATGACATAGCGAACGTCCGGATGCAGGTACTGCGGCAGCAACAACCATGGAGGCAACGGCGACACGCCGGACCTCGCACCTTTGGGCCCCGCGGGCCCCCAGCACAGCGACGCACAGCACGTTTGCACAGGCGGCCCTGGCACCCCCGCACACCCACCCCTGGAGCACCAGGCGGCTTCGACCATACCATGGAGGTGACAGCAACACGCTGAACCCCCCCAGCACTGCGACGCACAGCACGTTTGCACCGGCGGCTTGGCAACCCCGCACACTCACCCCCTGGAGCACCAGGCGGTTTCTTTACCACACCAAGGAGGTGGCAGCAACACGCTGTACCTCGCACAGCAAAACGTCGCGCAGCACGTCCCACCGGCGGCTCTGGCAACACTGCACCAGGCGGCTTTTTCACCCCCCCCCCTTCCCCCCCCCTTTGGCCCCGAATGGGGCCACTGCCCTGCAGAAATGCCCACAGCACGGCTACTGCAGTCCAACCTACATACATGCATATATATATATATATATCTCCTTCTTGGACAATGGGGATGGATAGGCCGGCGCGGCTGTCGTTCCTGCGCTTGAATGTGAAGAGTTTCCTGAGGATTTGAAACTTTGCCCGGAAAATTCATGATTTGTTTCATCATTGTTTCATCATGTGTTTGTTATTTTTCACGAGTCCACACGGATACCTGCAAAAAAGCTTTAGAGCCTCCGGCTCACTCCGCCGACGTTGTCCTCTCCTTTTTCTCCCTTCTTCATCTCTCCCACGAAGAAGTGGCTCTGATGGCGCTGGGAGACAAAGGAGCCACATCGCGGCATAGCCATCGGCCAAAAACCATGCCCTGCATCAAAAGATGCACGCTTAGAGTTGTTGCCCCCACTGAATAATGGTAGTACTTCGTTCAGAGCAATCGCGACCCACCCAAACTGATAGTGATTGAAATGGATGGCCTCAGCTTCCGGCTGTCGAAGCAGAAAAGTTGCCGCAGTTCAGCAACAGACGGCAAAGCAGCGCCAAGTCTAGCGCATCAGGTGGCTGCAAAGGCAGGCGGACGAAGCACCTGAGCAGCACAAGGCCTGCTCAACAACACCAGCCAGCAATGGCAGCTCAATGTAACGGCCACCGCTCTGACAGCCTTGCACACCCGAGTGCCTGACAGTGGAGACAAGCGCTGCCAGCTCTTCGCCGCTGTGCTTCGCGACCGCTTCATGGTCGCGGGCGACGATGTTGAGTCTGCTGGGCCGACGTGTACCGAATCCTGCCCGGACACAGTCTCGGCGCACCGCTACAACAACCAGCAAGCGCACTACCGCACTTTTCGCAGTCAGAGAGGGCTGCTTGACGCACAGTTTACTGAGCAGGCTTGCGCTGCAGCCAGGCCGTTTCGCGGTCACACGGGCGGAGGCAACAGTTTCACCAGCGCAGGCCAGCTATGCTGAGCCACACACCAACAAGCCGATGGTGCGCGCTCGACTTCGGCCAGGCCAATGAGACGCGGATGGATGTATGTTTCTATAAATTCCGCTTGTGTAGTAGAAGAGAGGGCTTCGCACGCGCCAACCAGCGAAAGATTTGCGCAAGCGGCAATGCTAGGACGCCTTCGCTTGCGCAGATTCTAGCCCGATGCTTGCAAGCGAGCCAGTCTTGTGCTCAGCAGCAGTTGGCTTATGGCTTGCGAGGACGTGATATGGACTCGTATTTTTTGATTCGCTCACCCACTTGCAACACACCCAGGAGAAAGAGAAGGCTCTATTCAACAGACGCGTTTCACAAGGGTGTAAAAGCGGATGTGCGGCCGCCGTTTGGTTGCAGCTTGTGCTCGCACAGACCAAAGCACCAAGCCTTGTAGGGTATTGAGAAATGGCAGCTTTAGCTGCCAAAGTGTATTTAGCGCTGTACTGCGCTGAAAAGTTGCGAGTTTTTTGGCTGGATCTCGCAAAGTGTACTTGCCATATGTAAGTTTGCGCTAAAAAGATGCCATTTCCGAGCACTTGTACTTTGTGCACCACGTTTGGTTTGATTGTTTCTGCGTGCATTTTCCGACGCAGCAAGTCCTACCTCTTGATGCCAACATCTTTTGCAGGTGCTGCCGTTTGGCGAGTTACTGAGAACGGAGAATCTAACGATGTCCTTTTTATTCGGGCCTTGGCACTTGGTGGGGGCACAAAACTCATATTCCCCTTTCCTCTCCTCTCCCCTCAAGGTTGACAAGGTCCCGAAAATCCAGATTTTGGAGGGCCAGGGTCTTCCCGCCCCTCGGGATCCCTCGCGTTAATCCAGACCTCGGCCAGCGGTCCTTGCAAGTGTTTTCCAGGGCTGGAGAGGTCCAGGATTAGTCAGAGTGGTTTTGTGTTGTTACAAGGTTGTCAACCTTGTTGTTTTACAGATTAATTGTAACAATAAATTTGCTGTTTCTGTCTAGCGTGTGTTTTGGCTTCTGGAAGTGCAACCCTTGAGTCAGCGTTGGCAATAGCTGTTGTAATTCAGAATTGCATTGTTTGGAATGTTCTTGGATTTTGGGCCGGAGGGATTGATTAATCATGTGCCGACATTATCAACACAAAGCCGTGACAGGCCAAGTGCCTTTATGAACCGATAAGCATTGCGTGTCGTCCAAAGTTTTCTTTGCCATGCCCCTGTGTGAGGGTGAGCGGCGGAGTGTGGCTGCTTGCATGTGCGTGTTTGTGCGGCTGCATTCATGGCAATGGCCTATGTGACGGTCCTGATTTCAGGTCACCTTGGACGAGTTTATTGACGGGATTATGCGCTGCAAAGGGCACGCCCGCGCGATCGATCAAGTCGCTATGCATGTTGAGCTGAAGCAGCTTGATGCGACTTGGTAAGATTTACCGAGATAATCCTTCTTGTCGGTCTTGTGGTCATGCAAGTTCTTGGTTTTTGTTCTGGTCTTGGACAGGGCTCGAAGGAGAGCACAGGTCAGTTCGGATCCTAAATCAACTGCACCTCACAGAAATTAAAATAAAAAGTGACATGTGCAATTAAGTGCGTTCCAACATAGGCCGCAAAGGAGGCCGCCATTTTGAGCTCCAACGCATGTCGCGACGAATCTCGGGCTAGTTGTTCAATTTGACCTAGTCAGGTCATTTTGAACCTAAAGACTGTAGGCGGAGCGAAAGGGCTCCAGCGCCAGGACAGAGATTAGGAGCTTGTGGAGCGTTATTTCTTCGAGGTACCCAATTTGCCAGGATGGAGAGTTGCGCGGCTTTCAGTTTCGGAACAAGGAGACATGTGGAGAAGTTGCAGTAGAGGAAGGCCATGCTTGGCAGCTGCAGGCCAGTTCTCAGTTGCCAAGGTGAAAGTAACCAAGCTTCTTAAGAAGGTGCTCAAAGCCACCAAGGCGGGTTTGCATCATTGATATTCGAACGCAAGGCAACCATTTGATGTACACAGGCTGCTGTGGGGGACATGGTACTCTCACGGTTGATCCATCCCCTGCAGCAAAGCCAAAGCGTTGGCACGTGTTTTGCCGACACAGAGCTTGGCAGGCCCCACGCAAGGAAAGCAGCGAGGTCAAGGAAAGGAATGCGTGCCGGCAGTGCACAGCACTGAAAGTCTTCCGAGCCTTGTCGGGAATGGGTGCAGGATCCCAAGGAATGGCATCAACGAACTGTCGAGCAACGGTTTGTAGTGCGGTTGCATCCAACAATCCGGTCGCATGACAACTGCTCCATAGTGCCATTGCATGTTATATCGCCATACTTGGCTTAAGCCTGAAAGTCGATCGGCCAGTCATCGCGCTTGGAAAGGCTCTTTGCGCTTGAATGTAGACTGCGCCCACACAGAAACACATTCTGCCTTATAGTGGCAGATTCGCCCACACGCATTGGCTTTTCCCGCTTTTCCCCGTTCTTCGGGCTCTTCTCAGGCACCAGGGACCTGAATAGTTGATTACTAGGACTGTTCAGAATTACCTTTCGATCCTTCGTTTGTATCCTGGGGGGAGGGGTGGGGTCGGCGCTTTTGGGCTTCGTCAAGCTCGGACCATGTCGCGTCTTCTCACCCCGCCTCACACACGGGCCGGCTCGCTGTGTGCTTTCTGACGCTATATTTGTTTCCGTTAGGCTTCGGATTGCTTGGTATTAGCATGTATTAGCTTATGTTCAGCGCTTGTGTTTTGAGTTGTGCTAAATCATCCTTTTACTCATCCGCCTAAGACGACTGCTGTCGCAAAGGCAAGTTGGACTCTTGTTTACAGGGGCAAACACAGTACGGTTTCCATGATTGCAGAAACAAAGCTAGAAGTTTCTCTTTCTCACATGCTCCAAAATGCCACGTCCCACTACGCCTTGTAGTTTAGGGTGAGTCATGCAAACGAGTCAATGTGCAAATATAGGTACAAATGTTCATAGCCGACCCCCACCAACTGCAGCAGCAGCGCTACAATTCGCGCAGGTCTCCTCTTATAACACTGGCGACGTGTTTGCCGTCTACTGATGTGATTGGGCATCAAGGAATCTGTTGGTGTCCTTTCTGTTCTTGTTGAGGCCCGTTTCTGTGATTTCGACAAGAGTGGCTCCAATGGATTGTGTCATTTAGTCTTGGCAAATGAGGAGTGTTGTGTTCCTTCCCGATTTGTCGGTAGGCACGGGCCATTGTGAATGCGCCAAGTCAGCCCTCCGTAGGCCAGCCACTGGGACGCACCAAGGAACTGCATACAGCCACGCCACGAGCGAAGTGGGCGCACCTTCGCACAACCCTTCAGTCAGCCGTACGGTCTCGAAGGATCATCATTGAGCAGCAAGCTTCCGCAATATGTCACGTGTCTGTTTGGTATCCCAATATCCTGGGGCCAAGCAGCCAGCCCTGCCTGATTGCAATTGGCACACATGCCATACCTGTGTGACTCTTTGTGTTTGGATGTCGCAATGTTTATTTATGAGCCGCCAACAGGGCTGATCGCGGAGGGCTGCCAGTGTCAGCCATGAAGATCTGCTGAGTGCTTGCTACTTATTGGCACTGTATGCTTTGCAAAGCAAGCTACTCTGTGCAGCCAGCGAGACAAATTTCCACCTGAAACAGTGAATGCTTAGTACACCAGCAGTCGGCACTAGTCGTTGCACTGTACTGTGGTTCTTACGAGGGTCGGTTCCTTTCGACATCGGTCATTTGATAGTTGCTTTGAGCCATGTTATGCTCTGACGCTTCTACTATTCTAATATGCTTCAATGTTGGTGTTCGACCTGCTGCCAGGTGACACCTGTGTGAGGTTTAGAATGAAACATATGGTGGCCAAAGTCAGGAGACACTAGCCCACCTTTTTAAGTCGAGCTGTTTGCAATGTATCACAGCTGTGAGCAGCTTGTGCATGGATCACAGAGACATGGACTGACATAAGGCTGTTATGGTGTCACTCGAGTCAAGCTCGCATGACTGCGATGTGGATGCCAGCTGTATGGCGGATTCTGTGAACATTCACATTATGCAAGCAAGCAGCCATGCAAACAAGACATCAGGCAGAGCAAGTGGGTGCAGTGAACAAGCAAATGTGGCGGCTGTTGGCAAAGTTTGAGACGTGGTGAGACACCATATTATATGCTGTAGAGGCGTCCTTTGTCTAATGGGTCGCTGCCCTTGAAGCTGCATCGCGCAGTCATGGAATGCAGATAATGGCCTGGGTTTGGCAGAACAGGCATGCAGGCTTTTGCAAAAGGCTAAGCCTTGGGCAAAAGTTTGTTGGGTACATTTCCCGTTTGCGGGCGGCTCCAGCAGTCGCCCTTGATTGCAGTGATACGCTTCTCCAGCTGGAGAGGTCTCGGGCCTGTGTGGCAAAGCATGAACCGCGTCAATGTGTTCAGGCCGAATGCCCGACGGTTCCGCCCGAGAATTCCTTGGCAAATCTGGCGTGGCACCTCGAACACACCTTGATTGGCTACTCGTGCTCATTCGTGCTCGCTTAAGGAGACATGAATGTGTCTCAACTTAAACCTGCCAAGAGAGCCTATCTGGCCTAACTTGATTAAACCGTTTGAAGATTGTCACCTGCGCCTTGCCAGGAGAACATACTTGCAACTGGATGCCAAGCTTGGGTGCCCAAGAGACAGAACCGGGCAAGAATCGCGTGGTCAATCTGGTGGTGTCACTTTTCGCATTTTCAAGGTCCACTGATTGTTTGCTGACGACTGCTATATAATACAATTGCTCTCAATTCAAACGCATGCAGTTCATGGGATGTGCTCACTTGGCGTCACAGGTTCGCAGTTGGAACCTAGATCGCCGATCGCTCAGCTGGGTTTTTGGGTCAAGTCGCCCAGCCGACTCATGGAGCCTCCGACCAAGAAGGCAGGGGTGTGTCGCCAAGTTTTTGCATATGTTTGCACGTATCATGAGCGTTGTTCAGATTGGATCCGTAAGTAAGAGTAAATTACACTGCCTCACGCAACAACAGCTGGCAGAACCTTCTCTGTTTGAAGAGGTGAGCGACTGAATACAAGGGCTTAAAATCGCAAGTGTTGATGACATGCCTGTTGGTTTAATTGGTTGTTTCCCTGCGTGAATGTATCGATTCGGCAGTCCATGATCCAAAGCTCCACGGCACAATGTTGCATGTGGAGGTCTGGGTCGGTTGTTCATGGCATTCATGGTATTATTGTAGCGTGGCAAGGAGGTACGTCCAGGTTTGCTTCGTGCAATGCTCAATGGATCTCGGCTGTTCTGTGGTTGTGGATTCCTGGGGACGTGTTGCTGTTTGGATTCTTGCAAGCCAGACTTGCATGACCTTGAGTCCAATAGTTGCGCGGTGCAATTTGAGGTTGTTTCTTGATGGCTGGAACTTGGGTCTCTATGTGGACCCGTGAGCTGCTTAGATCGGTGTTGAATTCAAGTTGGGAGCATTGTGGGAATGGTGCTCCCCATTTTTCTTGTTTCACTAACTTGTTCTGACTTCCTGAGCGCGCTGTGCGGGTTGTGTTTGAACCGCTTGTTGCACTGACTTTCAGCGCATGCTGTACCAGCTTAGTGGCCAGCCTGTCACGTGCTCTGCAAAGCTACAAGGTCACAATATGAGGACGCTGGGTACGACAATATAAAACGTTGGACTAGGCAGTGGCTTGTTTCCGGCAGTTATTTGCCTTGTTTGGCAGCAATGCCTGGCAGCAAAACCTGTCACGTCAAATTGCCGCAGGCCCGCACAGACGAGCCGGAGGAGGCAAGACTAAGTAACTAGATACACTGGAGAAGTAGTTTCGGGCATGATCGGCTTTTGGGTGGGCTTTGCAACCAAGAATCCACTGAAGGGATGATCCTCAGTTGAGAGGAGCAGTTGGCGGAATGAATGTGCATGAATGTGCATACAGGATGCACTTGTTACATGTTTTCCTGGAGCTGTGTTTGTTGCGGTTTTGTTTGCTCATTGCTCTCGGCAAAACAAGGCCATGTGTCAAGGACCTTTAAGCGTGGATGGGACGTTGAGAGTTCTCCGCGCTTGCCAGGAGAGCGGCACTGTCCAGGAGCCAGAGCCAGAGGTGGGGCAAATGCAGGGTATGGGCTGTGGTGTTAACAGGTTCAAGGTTTCGATTTTTTTTTGCCAAATTGGTTCAGTACGTACTGGTTTCGTGTTGGTGTAGATTTGTCTCGGTAAGGGCCCCAATATGTACGATGACACGGGCATCGGCGAGCGTGATTTTGACGGGTTGGTGGAGAGCCCTGCTGGTTGTCGAAGGGGGGCACCTTCTTTTCAGCAATAAGGATTTCTAGGGAAAGTGCCCCAGTTGAAGGCTAGAGACACGCAATGGCTTGTTCTAGCCAAGCGAGCTCCAGAGGTTTCAACGTTCAAGATTTCAAGAAACAGGCCACCGGGGGGAACGGGGGGGTTGACTGCATGTAACCTCGGGCCGAAGCCATTTCGAGTCAGCAGGTTCCAGGATGCGCGTGTGTTTGGTTGTTTAAGTGTTATTTATTGTTTGCTTTTTCTTTGGTTGATTCGTTCTGTGTTTTTGTTTTATATATGTTTCCTTTATTTATGTTTGTTTGGCTTGGCTTGGTTTGGTTGGTTGCTTGTTTGCTTGGTTGGTTGGTTGGTTGATGGATGGTTTGCTTGAATTTGTTTTATTTTTTGGTCTGCTTGTTTTAGTGCGTGCGGTGGCGAGTGTTTCTTGCATGCCCTCAAGACGTTTGCCGGGAATTCGACTCTACCTTCTTGATGTTGTACACACTCGCTAACCATTGGAACAACCAATCTCTGAGACTCTGAGGCGTAGATCGATTCCGTTGGTCCTTCGCTGCCTTCACTGCTCGAACTCCCCCGCACCCCGGCCCGCCAGGAGCTGGAGTGCGATGACACGGCTACGGGACCGAAGGCAATGCCGTTCGAGGGCCTCATGGCTGCCAGTCCGCTTGATGGGGACATCAGCCAAGTAGTTTCCAGATTGAGCGCCACCCACCAAGCCTTTGAGATTTGACCTGTTTCACACAGGCGAAGGACAGAGCGATATTCTACGTTGAAGACACAACCATCAATGTCGCGCGCCCAGTCACAACGCAGTGCATTTTGCCAGTCGCCTAAATGCTGTGAAGGTCACGTATGTTCTCAAGTTGTTCAGTATGGGTTGAGTAAATTGAACAAGATTTGCATTGAAATGCCATAGCTATTCATGACCGAGTTGTTTTTTCTCCTGAGTTGTTCCGGATGAGGTGCTATAGCCATGATGAGTCAATGAGAGCTACTGTAGCAGGTCAAGCAAGATGTTGGAAATTTCAGTGCCATTCAAGCTGCAGAGTGCAGGAGAACCACTCGATGAGCAGTTTGTGCTGCCGTTGAGCTTGCCCATGTGATCTTCAGTCTTTTTCACCTGTGCATGTACCATGTAAACGGGTGGACATTATGCAAAGGTTTGCCGAAGGGTTTGCCTTGCGGAAGCAAAGAGGGAGGTTCATGTGTTAACGCACGCATTGTAACAACAGGCGCCCAAAATCACCCGCACTGTGGCTGCGGAATCAACAGTAACCAAAACCTCAGGGAAGCGCGCGGAAGTTTCAACAAAGGCATGTCCACAGAAGCAACGATTCAAGCCGCGGAAGCTTGGCGGAAGGGTTCGCGGAAGGTTGAATCATGTCATCAGACAAATATGATAATCAATAGCAGAGCTCGTGTTTGCCACGGAAGCATTGATTTTGCACATTTGTTTGCTGAACATGTCACGTTCTGCACCTAGAATGTGCAGGTCCTCTATCCTGGGATGTGGCACAAGGAAAATGCAATGAGAAGGGTCTTGTGGCTTCAAAACTGGGTATCTCTAGCAAAGATGGCGAGAAACGGGTAAGATCCAGCTTAAGAAGGCTGGGAGCTGAATCTTGCTGAGCATATGCTGAGGACTTGTTCATCAAGAGCTATGCTTAAATCCGTGCACAGATTGCTTCGAGAAGAAAGTCTTGATATGCGCTTGACTCTCTAAATTGATACAACGGAAGTAGAATTTAAGCGATGCGGTACCATCAACGAGTGAGTTTCATCGCGGCCTCGGCTCAGGTGCTAAGCTCGAAGTATAACACGCTGATGCCCCTGACGGATGGTGGGCTTCAATATCTTCTGGAGCGCGGGGAGAGTTGAGATCTCGCAAAAGTTGTTTGTCACTCAGATCAGTTGGTTATGGGTTGTACGTGCGATTCACAGCAGAGGCAAGATATTTGTGCTGATCCAATCAACAGATGAGCATTGTCTTCAGAAGTAGCACAGACATGTCCAGGAGTGGGATCGTCCACCTGAGCCTGATCAGTTCCATTTGAATTCTAGCCTTGGCTCTGCTTTTGTCGGTGTTCGTGCTGCTCTTCTTGTGGTTTTGCAAGCGGCGCATGTCGTGCGACAGTGGAGCTGCGGGGGATAGACTTGCTGAGCTAAATCCATGTTGTGCAGACTGTTGAAGCTTGTTTCTTATCGGTTTTCGGAAGCGTGCTGTCTTGGCATGCAATAGTTGTTTGCTTGCTCGGTCCTATGTTTATACAGTCAAAGTTGTGTTGTTGGACACGGTGGACAATGATGTGCTGTGTGAATTAACATTTAGAGGAGATTGCTAGCAAGCAACTAGGCCTCATTGAAACAGATGGTTGCACTGGCACATGGTTTCGGACAATTTCTCTCTCAAACTCCGGTAGCGGATTGGCAAGCCCGTTTGACAGGCAGGAGCTCGAGCCAACCTGGGCATCAAGACAGGCCAAGACCTTGGAGTTTCAAGGATAACCCGTTGATTGCAAGTGCCAGGTGGTAGCACCAGTCTGCCCTCGAAGTCTTTACCCATGTGGGATGGGTTGAGTAGGGGCCCGCTTGGCGCAGCAACCTGGCAGGTCGCTACATGTTTGAGGTCAAGATCCTGGAGGTCGGCTTGGGATTGCTGTATTGGGTTGGCTGGAATGGGAGAACTCTTGAAAAGTTACACGTGGCACAAGCGGAGGAAGTCTCGCTTTGATATTCCGAACAATTCGTAAAGGTGAGTGTCACTGCCCAATTGTGCGAAGATATTCAAGGCTAATCGCTTCTATATAGCAGGTCTTGTCGGAACGTCAAAGCAGCTATAAGTAGCTGCTGCATCACTTCGAGCCATTGTTTCACTGCGCGAAGCCACGAGCCGAGCAGAGGAGACCCTGAAGCCAATTGAAGCCCGATCTATCATCCAACTGTGCGCACAGGCTCCGTCTCCGGCAGGTCATGTCCCCTTTGGAAGACCCAAATGCCCGGTCCCGGGTACCGCTGCCGCGAAGTCAGCTGCGAATTGGCGCGGCCCTTGGACTGTTCCAGCGATCCCCGGGGTCTGAGGACAAGTCACTTGGTAATTGCTGGACTTTGAACTTGATGGGTTCTGGACAGGTGGGAACATCATGGCACGTGGGCCACGAAAGGAGGGCAGCCTGCTGTTCAAGTATGAGCAGCGAAGAGCGCTCACAGCCTCCATATTTGAGCCTTTTCTGAGTCCCTACTCTAGATGCGTTGTTGAGGTTTGTCAGCGGCTGAGCTGGGCATAGCAGGGAGTAGTGTGCATGTTGCAGTTTGTGTAAGCAATGATGACCTCGATGCAAACGGCTTGCTGCGGCAGTTGCATTCACATGGGCAATGTCATGTGCTCAGGCTTTGGCAGTGTAAAGTGCAACCTCTTCCTGGGACACACAGAGGACAGAGTCGGACGGAGGAATGCTTTGCTACTCATTTGTACAACTCGGCATTGCATGTAGCAGCGCTATCGAAGCCTTGTGGAGAAGTCGGCACCGCGAAGGATGCCAAGCAATAAATCAGGGCTAAAGGAGGGACACCAGAAATGAGCGACCATTGTTTGTCGTTGTAAACCAACATGTTTTGCATGTATGCATATTGGTATGATATGTAGCCTATGCATATACGTGTTACACGTTGAATTGGCGAATGTAGTTGACTGAACAGGTGTGGGCATGCCTGTTTTCCCCTTCACATGTTTTATACGTTGTGCCATTTGAGCAAGCAGAAGACATGCTGGAGGATGCAATTGGCTTCGACAGCGAGGGCTTCCTGCTGCAGGGCAAGAACAGAACGCCGGCCTCATCCTCAGCAAGGAGCAGGAACGGACCCTCCTTGTTTGTTCAAAGCGGACTGCTTAGTCAGGTGCAATTGAGCATCCATCTCTACGACTAATGACTCATGACCTGATGCAGAAAGACAGACAAAAACATGTCAAGAGCCGAAGCACATACTTGCGACGCGACTTTCCTGGTAACGATGTCATTCTGGCGGCCATCGGCAGCTTCCCTCATGCTTTCTCGGGGGCAGGGGCTTCCTTCAGCGTGAGATATAATGTGACTTGTGGGTTTAGTTTACGCTGATTTGAGCCTGTCCTTGTTGAGCCCACCTCAGAGCGGAACACGCTGCTTTTGGAGATGGCCTTTTGATGGTGCGCTTGGCAGTGTTCTTTACCCACTTGGCAGCCAAATCATGACTGCTTCCCGTGGCCGAGAAGACTAACTATGTTTGATATCTGATGCAGGTGCTGCCCAGTTTGCTCAGGTTGCCCAGAAGTTTAGCACTGGAGACGTGGTGGCTGTGGCACGGGGCTCACACCTTCCTTGCAAATTCAATGTCAGTGCAAGCACAGATCTGTGATGCATCTGCATCAACAAGCCAGAACAAGACAGTGTCCTCTGTGTGGGTGAGTTGACAGAGCATGCGCATCATTGATTCATAGGCAGCTTGCAGTAGAACATCAGAACATGTATTGCTTGGCCCTTGTGCAAGGTACTGAATCAGATTAGCTCCAGCCCCAACGATGCTTGGCTGCAGTGGCAAGCAGAATGGATTTGGCAGTTGCTTCCCACAAGGCGCCTTAAAACTGGCGCGACTGTATGTAATTTCCTTGGGTCAACTTATGACAAGGCTTTTGTGCCGGGAAGAGAGAGCGAGAGAGAGTGACCACAGTAGGCATGTACGATAACATGTACTACAATCAGCCGCGTAACCAGAGTTTGCAATTGGACAGCAAAGGCCCATACCGTCAGCCTCTTCAAGGACGGGATGCCGTTCGTACATTGGTGCATGCCTTGAAACTGAGCGAGCACACTGCTGATTTTGACCCCCTCCCCTTTTTGAACCGACAAGGTAAAGTATGGACCTGGAATTGGAATTGTGTTTTGTGGACAGGGCTCATTGGAGCCAATGGCCGCTGCAAGATTTTGAGCTGATTGTATTCTGCATGTGCCAGAATGGCAAGCGGATCTCCCAGCCGCAACCAGTGCCACAGCACCTTCGGGAAAAGGCAGGACCTGAGGAGCTGGGCATGGTGGCTGGGAATGTAACTTAACGTCAACCGCTCTGAACTGCCCAGGAACTGCCTCTAAGTTGCCGTAACTCTGGGTTAAGTGATTGGACAAGGGTGGCAACAACATCGTGGGTTGCGGCGAGCCCGCGATCCTGTGAAGGTTGTCATTCCTATGCCTACAAGCTGCAGACTTCCACAGCAGAAGTCGTCCGCACAAGTCATGAGTAAGGAGGCTGCAGCCCACAGAGAACCGCCTCTCCTTTAGGCATTCCGCAACTACACATTAAAACTGGTTCACCAACGCAGAGTCCTCAATAAGAAACATGTTCAATACATCTTAGCGGTCATGGAAGATTTCAGAGAGCTATAATATGTCGCAGGTAGCCGTCCTTCATTGTTTGAGTGTCGTGTTGGCTTCTGCTTCGTCAAAAGTGAGGTTCAGCGTATCCATTCAGAGTCCGTGCTGCGAGAGTCCCTCAAATAATGACGTTTGCGGGAAGGCCTTGTATCCGCTGCTGACATTCAAGAATGCAGGGCGCCCAGCAATTGACCTGCTTCAAATGGGTCTGGGTCCTTTCTCATGCGCCGCGCAGCTCTCGCATGCGCAGGGAAAACATGGTAGAACTACCTGTTTGCGGTGCTGATGTTCAGAGATCTGCAATGTTGTCCGTTGATTATTTGTGGGGAAAATGCTTTGAACAAAGTATGTGTCAATGCGGCATATTCTTAACTGGCTCACTCGGTGGGGCCTCGCATTTCGCTTCCTCCGTGGGGTGATGAGGTCAGCTTGCAGTACAACTTCGGGCCTGTTTCTCTCGCTCCTTTGCCCTTCAAGTGCAGAATGGTCAACGACGCTTGGCTCGCAGGCTCACTCCTTGGGGCAGTATCAGGGAAGTGCGTGGTTGTTTCAAGATATCTCATACTCGCAAAGAGTTGAATGAATCAATCTGAACTCTGTGCTTTGCCATCTCAAGACATATCGCAAAGAGCTGCAGCCAAGAGAATGCAACGGTCATGAACTCTTGTGCATCAGGTCCTATATTCAAACAAATCCAGCGGCACCAACAACATGTTAGATTGCTCTGTGCAGATTCGATTCGATCAGGCTTAAGGCACGTCATGCGTCGACGCTTGCTTGTTTTGCCTTTTGTTTTGCACAGGTTCGTGGGACAGCCATATTCTGAAGGGCGTAGGCTGTTTTGGGTCTGGACTGTGCGCAACAGTTAGATCATGCCTTTAGCCGCATGAAACCTTACGTAGGTTGGTTGGCCAGTCTCCCTGAGCTATAAACCTCATAGGGATTGTTGCGGATTCATGCTAAACTCATCTAGAATCCCAAGCTATTTTTATAGAGGGCCAGCTGTTTTTACAAGGGATTGTTTTCATGGAGGCCAAATTGTGCGAACATTGGATTTTGACAAACTGAGATGTATAGTTTCAGCTCATGTTGCCAGTCTTGTTAGAAGGCAACATCAATAAAGACATCTTGATTGTCGTGCAAGCAAGGAAGTCCTGCAGCCAGACGTGTGCAAGAAGAAGGAGCACACTCAGCATGCAGAGGGCCAGTACGAGGTGCCCGTTATTTTGATGGGTGTTGTTGGAATGACTCAACGGGTCGACAGTCACCAAGGGCTGTTTTATTTCCCACCGAAAGACAGGATGCATCTGGTGCAACTGCAGCGATCACCAGAATCATCGCCCATGTGATGAGACCGCTGAAACTGCAATGTTGATCGTAAGAGGGCATAGTTCGAGCCACGCATGTGTTCCCAACGCTCCAGCCTGACAATTTGGCCCTGTTGAAGGCTTCAGCTGGGGTTGTTACATCTGATTTGCATGCTTTTGTTCGATTTGACATCCCAGGTGCTGTTTCCAATTTCACTTCCTGATGAAGGTGGCTTTGACTGGCTGGATCAGCAGCTCAGCTCAGTGAAAGCATGAAATAGAGCATGGAAAACTCAATGATGTCGGCATCATGGCTCATCCCTGGAGGGATGCATGGCATAAGCAAATTGAAAGCCTGACCTCTGAGGTTCCTGATAAAGAACCCTCACTACGTCGAGCTGAGCCACTGGGCAACACTGGGCACCACTGGGTATGCAGCCAAAGCATGTCCAACTGTTCGATTGGATGAACGAGTCTTCTTTTTTGCATTTATGCAGAGGAGTCTTTCTGAAACGTCCACATCCATTGGCCATGGCTGACACTTTCAAGGCCATGCATGTGCATGCGTCTTACAACACATTGTCTTGGGCACATGGACATGCGCACGGTGTGCACACCTCATGTTCTTTCTGAGCAACTTGAAGCCTTCCTTGAGCTGGACTGGTTCCGCGCAGCTCTCCAGCCGCGGGCCGCAAGGTGATCGATCACTTCTGAATTGGTGCGAGAAAAGTCAGCGGCTGAAGTCAGGGATTCGTCCCTTGCGTTCGCATCAGGAGGCACTTGTTTGGCTGATGACTTTGGAAGGGCTGGTCGTTTCTCTGGTGCTGTGCTTTGCAACACGTACATGGTCGGTGCGGACCAATTTGCACATGTCGAGGCACAGAGGCCACTCTGCAGCTGAATCATGCGAGGTGGACTGCTGCGGCCAAAGGGCTACAACATCTTGGCAAAAGGCTCCAATGACAAGCCGGAGATGGGTCCCTTGGCACACTCTATGAGATATATCACAGTACATTGTGAGCTGATCTGGAAGCCCTGGTATCCAAGAGCTGAGGGGAGGATGGACACACACAGCTGTTTGCCATTGCTTGCCTGCGGCAGAAAACCTTTCATCTTGTGCAATGCAGAGATGTGATTGTCAGTGTGTTCTTTGATTTCCACTGATGCAATTGTGCTCTGAATTGTCCTGTTGTCAGTGGGAAACATGAATTGGGCAGTCCTTGGCGAGACGGAACCTGATGATCCGTGCTACAGTATAGAGTATAGTAGAGAAATCAATTAATCAGGGCATGGTTTTGATATCATCTCGCCCTTGCCCAGCCAAACCAGTGCTGGACTGTTTGATGTCATTCCTCGAGGCATGGGCATCACGGCACTGGACGATCTTAGCGTGCGGCGCGTCCTCAATGCAGTTGCCCCGATCCAGCAGAGGAGTCGCAAGAGAGCTCTAAAAATATTAGAACGCTCCCGCGCAACGTCTGATTTTCATTGTTTCACGTGAGCCCTTGACAATGTCCGCAGTTTGCGTGTTTGTGTTTGTGTTTGTGGAGAACGAAACCAGGCCTTGATGTTGATTCGTATGAAAGCGTACAACAGGTTTCTTCCGGTTGTAAAGGCGTTTGCACTGGCCACGTGGGTGAATCTGCTTGATTGACATCGAACATTGATAAAGCTGGCACAATGCCGACCTTGCGAAGTCTTTCGGGGAACCCAGCCAACCGCAGTTATACGCAACGAGCTTTACTCAGAAGGATTTGGCATTTGTAAGCCAAGAAACAGTGCTTGGCTTGACAATCCCAGCTATATACAGAACACGCAGCACGCAGGAACTACGTTGTCATGGAGGTCCGAGCCAATTTGCTGAAGGAGTCGATCAGGGTTACACATGAGTTGCCCCGTTCGCACGATTGGCATGTTACGCCGAGCTGTTTGATCTTCAGGAGGAGAGGGCCGAGCAGCTGCCGAGATGGCTTGGCTTTAAGCGATCCTCGGCTTACAACGCTTACACGAGTGTTTTGTTTGCAGAAGTTCAGCCTCTTGCAATTCTGCCCGTGAGGGTTGGGGGCACCAGTCGATGGAACGACTTCCCAGGAGTGGCGGCGGTGATCTTGGGTGAGCCTCCACAAGTGTTCAAGAAGTATTCTCAGGCTGCGTGGGGCAGTGGAGTTGTCCCTCGACAGTGGCAGCCGACTGTACGGTAATGTCTCAAATTGATCTCCTCTGTTCTCAACAGTCGAAAGCTTGGGCATAGCCGCATTCGCATTGATGACTGAGATTCTGTGTCAGGATGTCTCTTTGCGGGCTGGTGCCTCAAATCATTGCTAGCCATTTGCTCGCCCACATCAAGAATGAGCAACGCGCAGATGGTGAGTACCTATGATCAATTTTAAACCCAGAGCAAACCAGAAGTAAGGGAACACGGTGAAGTGATGTGAGATGTTACCTCTATATACCTCTCTGCTGGAGGTGCGTGAAGTGTGACGCATTATTTTAGTACATTGCAGTGTCATGAAGCTTTTCCCAGATTTCTTGTGCATGACATAAGCTCTCATGCTGGCTTTCAGCAGTAAATATGTTTGTATGTGTGTGTATAAAAATAAATAAATAAAAAAGTGTGTGTGTGTGTGTGTGGTGTGTGGTGTGTTGTGTGGTGTGTTGTGTGTGTGTGTGTGTGTGTGTGTGTGTGTGTGTCTGTGTCTGTGTCTGTGTCTGTTTCTGTGTCTGTTTCTGTGTCTGTGTGTGTGTGTGTCTGTGTGTGTGTGTCTCTGTTTCTGTGTCTGCGTGCGTGTGTGCGTGTGTGTGTGTGTGTGCCCCTGTGTCTGCGTTTGTGTGTGTGGCTGTGCGTTTTGCGTGTGCCCGTGTGTCTGTTTGTCTGTGTCTGTGTGTGTGTGACTGTGTGTGTGTGCGTGTTGTGTGTGTGTGTGTTGTGCTGATATTGCAATGAGGTCAAGCAGGAGGTCTCCGACATCGAGTTCAAAGCAAAGCAAGTCCAGGCAAAGAGACACAGAGGGAAAGATAGATCATGCTTCAGCCAGACAGGCGTGAGCAATTTCGGCACATTATCATGTTCAATGTTTTATATTGGGGATTGGCCCTTTTGGTGGGCCTTGGTCACTTTTGTCCTGCTTTGTAGCCTTCTTGAGAATCCTTCCATCACGCTGCCTGTAGCAATCATGTTGCGTGATATTGGTCTTCAGAATGCTGGCAAGCATTGCTGCTCTGGCATTAGTATCAGCTAGTGATAGATTGGTACTAGTATTGGAAGGAGAAGCAGCAGTTCATGCTGCAGAAAAGACAGAAGCAGATGGAGAAGGACTGCCATACTTGCTTTTTGCCAAACACCGCATCACACTGCTGCCGTCGTTGTTGATGTGTGTCAACTCACAGCCGCCCTGAACGGCAAACATCACCCTGAGCACGAGTGATGGTCTAGCAGCAACAGCATCGAGGTTCAGGCCATCACAAGTTGCTGCGTTTGCGGCTGTGCTGTGAAATAATTTGAATCTGAATTGAACGACTCTTGCCTTTGCTGCAACGACAGTTATACGTCGGCCACACCACTCTTGGCAGCAAACTTTGTCGAGATCAAAACATGCATTTGCTGAGAGCTGCCATGTTGCACGAGTACGCGACCAAAGCTGCCTGCAGAATAAATTCCTTTTCGCAAGATGGAGTGTCATTTCTAGCTAGCTTGCAGGACAAGAAGAAGGCTGGGCGTCATTGGTTGGCATAGTCATTGAGGGGCAGTGCAGGGAGTGGAGGCAGCCACTCACAGTTCCCTAGGTTGCTGTTAGGTTGCTTCGAAGCAAATTGCGGAGCTTTTCAGAGGCTCGGCCCCCCGAGGCAGCAAAGAAGGCGGCAAAAGCGCAAGATGCGATGCTGAAAAGGATGAAGTCAGGGAGCCCAGACCCCGTGCCATTCTGGACGTCAACTGCGTGCTCCAC